AATTCCACTGAAACCAGAACAATCTGCTGCTGGAAGAGATGCTCTTGCTAAATCTATTTATTCTAAACTTTTTGACTACATAGTTGGATGTGTGAACCAATGTTTTCCTTACCAATCATCACAGAGCTATATTGGTGTTCTTGATATTGCTGGTTTTGGTATGTTTTATGGAATTTCAATGTAATTAATTGTAATTAATAATTGTAAAGCTTTAGGGAGAGTCACCATGATTGCAATTTTACATGTGTGTAAAATTATATGTTTAAAGTTAAGTAAAATAAATAATATGTTCATGGTTCTTAATATGTGTTCATGGTATTTATCAGTAAATAATGTATTCATTATATATAAAAACTTTTTAAGCTTACACCTTTTGGTTAAAGATTATTTTACTAGAAGGTCTTAATTTTGAATTTTTGTTTCATATTTTTAAATTAGAAATATCCATGGTGATTACTACTACACCTCAGAAAAAAAGTGATTTATTAAAGTTGAACAACTTGGTTCTTGGCACCAAATTTTAATACTCATTCTACCATTATTTATAATGAAAATTTTTATCTAAAGTTTCATTATTTATAATAAAACTTTAGATAAAAGTGATTTAAAAAAATTTAAGTAAAAAGTTTCTTTTCAGATTACTCATAATGCAGAATATTGCATTTTTTCTAATTTTTTTTTTTTTAGTTAATTTTGTTGATCTTACATTTTCTTAAGCTTAAATCTAAAGCCTAAGCAGATGTATACCATGAAGTTATTTATTCATTTAAAAACAATAATTTTAAATTTATAATTTTAGAATTTTTTGAAGTTAACAGTTTTGAACAGTTGTGTATCAATTACTGCAATGAAAAACTTCAGCAATTTTTTAATCAACGAATTCTAAAAGAAGTATGTTTACAGTTTTATTTTTTTTTTTCATATTTTGTATGCATTTTGAAACCAAACAACAATAAAATTTTCTCCCTATTATTTCACATTTTTCCAAAAATATTTAGTAATTTTAGTTGTAATAACAATAGAATATCTTGAAAAAGATGAAGTGAAGAGAACTTTCAAAAGTGAAAACAACTTAAAATAGTGAAGAGAACTTATAAAAAGTGAAGAGAACTTATAAAAAGTGAAGAGAACTATAAAAAGTGTAAACAACTTAAAAGGGCAGTAGTAATTAGTAGTATGAACATAAAAGAATTATGTAAAAAACTTGAAAACCTGTAAAAGTAGTATGGACATTAAAGTATCATGGAAACAATTTGAAAAGTCGTCAATTTGAGTCGTCCACAAATTTGTTGCATCATATAATGATGGGAGGGGTTTACCAAAGTAACTAACTTCATATTTTATACCTAAGTAACTAACTTCATACCTAAGTAACTAACTTCATACAACAAATAGTCAGAAAGTAACATCGTTTTGACTAATTTTTTTTAGCAAACACAGAGAAACTCGATTATGTCACAACTACTTTTAAATGTCTACTATGATTTTTACTTATTGTTGTAAATGATAAGGTTGAGTGATTATTAAGTAAACTTTTAATTACTTTAGCTATTAACACATGTAAAATTTACAAGAAATTCAATTAGCCAATTCTTAAAAAAAAAGTTGTTAAAATACCATTTGTACTGTATAACTGTATACCATTTGTACTAAATAACATTTACTGAATATTATTTGTACTAAATAACATTTTATTTAAGATATGTTTTAATTTTTAACCTTAAAAACAGTATAAAAAAACAATAAAAGAGGTAATATGGTGGTAAGAGTAATTAATATTTAATGTCAAAGTATCTATTCATCTGTTGAATCAAAATTAACTTTTCATCTGTTAAATCAAAAGTAACTTTTCATCTGTTGAATCATAAGTAACTTTTCATCTGTTAAATCAAAAGTAACTTTTCATCTGTTGAATCAAAAGTAACTTTTCATCTTTTGAATCAAAAGTAACTTTTCATCTTTTGAATCAAAAGTAACTTTTCATCTTTTGAATCAAAAGTAACTTTTCATCTTTTGAATCAAAAGTAACTTTTCATCTTTTGAATCAAAAGTAACTTTTCATCTTTTGAATCAAAAGTAACTTTTCATCTTTTAAGTCAAAAGTAACTTTTCATCTTTTGAATCAAAAGTAACTTTTCATCTTTTTAATCAAAAGTAACTTTTTATCTTTTGAATCAAAGGTAACTTTTCATCTGTTGAATCATAAGTAACTTTTCATCTGTTGAATCGAAAGTAACTTTTCATCTTTTAAATCATAAGTAACTTTTCATCTTTTGAATCAAAAGTAACTTTTCATCTTTTGAATCAAAAGTAACTTTTCATCTTTTAAGTCAAAAGTAACTTTTCATCTTTTGAATCAAAAGTAACTTTTCATCTTTTTAATCAAAAGTAACTTTTTATCTTTTGAATCAAAGGTAACTTTTTATCTGTTGAATCATAAGTAACTTTTCATCTGTTGAATCGAAAGTAACTTTTCATCTTTTAAATCATAAGTAACTTTTCATCTTTTGAATCAAAAGTAACTTTTCATCTGTTGAATCGAAAGTAACTTTTCATCTTTTAAATCATAAGTAACTTTTCATCTTTTAAATCAAAAGTAACTTTTCATCTTTTGAATCAAAAGTAACTTTTCATCTTTTAAATCATAAGTAACTTTTCATCTTTTCAATCATAAGTAACTTTTCATCTTTTGAATCAAAAGTAACTTTTCATCTTTTGAATCAAAAGTAACTTTTCATCTTTTGAATCAAAAGTAACTTTTCAATTTTTGAATCAAAAGTAACTTTTCATCTTTTAAATCATAAGTAACTTTTCATCTTTTGAATCAAAAGTAACTTTTCATCTGTTGAATCGAAAGTAACTTTTCATCTTTTAAATCATAAGTAACTTTTCATCTTTTGAATCAAAAGTAACTTTTCATCTTTTAAATCAAAAGTAACTTTTCATCTTTTGAATCATAAGTAACTTTTCATCTTTTGAATCAAAAGTAACTTTTCGTCTTTTGAATCAAAAGTAACTTTTCATCTTTTGAATCAAAAGTAACTTTTCATCTTTTAAATCATAAGTAATTTTTCATCTTTTGAATCAAAAGTAACTTTTCATCTTTTGAATCAAAAGTAACTTTTCATCTTTTGAATCAAAAGTAACTTTTCATCTTTTGAATCAAAAGTAACTTTTCATCTTTTAAATCATAAGTAACTTTTCATCTTTTGAATCAAAAGTAACTTTTCATCTTTTGCAAAATTTACTAGATCTACTTGATCATTGTAAGACTAAATTAAATTCAACTTAAGATCAGATAATAAACATTAACACTGCTAATATCCTTATCCTTCAGTTTATAAAGACTTCAAAATTCACATGCTGGGCTCAGTCATATACTTTTATATCAATTTATGTATTCAACATAAGATTAGATTTGAATTCTCTGAATATTCTTTTATGTGCTTTTGTTTAGCATCTCTTCTTCACGTTTTTTTTTTGTTCTTCATTTTCCTCCATTTTCCTAAGACTGCACTCTTTTCAATGTTGTTTCTAATAAAATTGCCAATTTCTTATTGATGGTTATAATGATTGACACACTGAATGGTTTTAGCCTTTTTGTCTTTTTTAATCTTTTACTTAGAGAGTTAACTTTTTGACTCATTTTCCAGACATCCCTAATCACGGACCTTCAATCATTGATTCATGTTTCATTTCTGCCCCTAGATGTTTTCAGTTTATTTATGTTGTTATTAATTTTATTATATATATATATATATATATATATATATATATATATATATATATATATATATATATATATATATATTTATATATATACACAACCCTTGAAATTATGGTTGGCATTGCTGAATGCCGACCTAACTGACCAAAAAACATAGAAGTGAGGTCAACAAAATATTACCGACCTCATTTATATGTTTTATGGTCAGACCTTTATTTCAAATAATTTTTGCCAACCTGATGCCGACCTCAAAAAAAAAAAAAAAATATATATATATATATATATATATATATATATATATATATATATATATATATATATATATATATATATATATATATATACTAATATTAAGCTTGTTCAGATTATGCTAACGTCTTACTAAAATATTTTTATCCTACTCATGGTGTTTAACTTTTTTTGTGTAAAATTTGTTGTATATCTAGTGCAGCCAGATTTATAAACAGTAACATTTTATAAAAATATTTTGACTGATTTATAAAAAATTATGATTTATGTTATAAAAAATGTTGGAAAGTGGTTCGACTGATTTATATTTAATAATGGTTTATAAAGATGTAACATCAAATTATGTTTACTTTAAATCAAATGATTTAGTCTGACGGAACTGAAATGTGATAATAAATAATGCAAATGTACAAGTATAAATAAATAATGTAATTGTAGTTGTTTGTATTTTTATTTTTTTAAATTTTTTATTTTAAGCAATAAAAATAGTAATATGTTTAACAAAATAATTCCATTAGTTATATGAACAAGTTTTTTATTTTAAAATGTTCATTTTATAAATGATATATTGTGAGTGTTTTTTGATTTATCCATTACTGTTTTATATGCATGACACTACAGTATTCTTTCTACATTATGTTAGAAGATTTGTAAAACAATTTATGGTAGCAGCGATTGGTATATGGAAGTAGCAGTGTCATTATTACTTTTATAAAATTGTTACATTGAAAAAAAAATCAAATAAATTAGTCAGCTAAATATAGAAAACACTTGATAGATTCTATAAGTTTATAAAATCAAGTTATAAAATTATTTCATAATTATAAAAAATTTATTCTACATATTCACTTCATAACTTGAAAAAATTGATAGCAATGTTCGTTATTTTTTATTAACACTCGTACTTGTTTGAATTTACATTTACAATTTTTGGTTTTGATTTTTTAATTATTTTAACAAACTTTTATTTAATCAAATTGAATCTATTTACTATTTTAAAACGATGTATCACTACAATCACAGATCAGCACAAATTTTATGATCCTTACTTGATTTTAAATCTTTTAAAATCTTTTAACTCTCTTTGCTAAGGAAACAAGTTGTTCTGTGTTGTACTTTTTAGGCTTATTTTATCTCTTTTCTGAGAAATTTGCATGTTGTTTTTGTAAATTGTGGCTTCATAAATTTGAATAAATAAATATAATAAATTAATTGTTAAAGTTTAAATTTTATAGGTTCTAAATAATGTGTAAAATAATTTAAAAAGTAATATTACTTTAATATATTACTAATTTAAAAAATAATTAAAAATAAAATAAACTTTTCTTCTTTCTAATAATTTTTTTTTTTAATCAAGGAGCAAGCGTTATATGATAAGGAAGGACTTGGTGTTAAGAATGTGTCCTACGCTGACAATCAAGACTGTATAGGTATTTCAAACACAACTTTTTAGTTAAAAGAAATAAAAATGACATTTTAGAAAGATTTTGTATTATAGAATACATTCTGTAATCTTTTTTTTATTGCCATCTTATGCCCAAAATATTTTTTGGGCATAATGATGGCAAAATTGAGTTACCTGAAGACAGTTGGCTTATAGTAACATGTCCGTTTTAATTAATTATTTTTTTATATTGGAAGTTACTTCAGTATTATTATTGGAGATTGTTATTATTTATTGTCTTTTTTTTTAAATTTGAAAGCATTTATAAAGATTAAAGAATTTTGTTGTAAATTTTAAAAAGATTTATAATTGCTTAAAAATCTAGAACTCTTTGAAATGAAAACTATTGGCATAATGGACATGTTAGATGAAGAAATGAAGTTCCCTTCACCAAGCGATGTTCATTTTACAAATGAAGTTCATGCTAAACAAAGCAAGCATTTTAGACTTGCGGTAAGGACCTAAATTTAAATAATATACTTTTTTTTGTTAGTTTTAGTTAGGGACAAGCAAAAATTATTAAATTTTGATATTAAGAATATGGGATACATAATTTGGTAGAGTTATGGTGCTATTGTTTAAATTTTTATAGGACTACACTAAACAGTGGTCCAAAATGGTGGACAAAATGAAAAAATCTATATTTTGGGAATAAAAGTATTTCACAGTTTTTAAAAACTAAGACAAAATGTCATTATCATTACTGGTTAAATAATGACTTTCAAAGTTTTGAAAAAACTTTAAAAAAAAATGTTTAAAATGCATATATGCACCAGTTTTATAGTCAAAAATAACAATAAAAATTTATATGCTCAAAAATTGAATTAAAAAAGTTAAATTTATTTACTGTTTTAAAATGTTTCTAAATAAAACTTTCTTCGTTCTTTTCAAATAAAATTAAATGAAAATGTCAGTTATATGAACAAAAATTTTTGATCCAATATCTAAAAAACTAGAGATTTGGTAGCATATTTTATTTTACTATGTATTATTGCCTTTAATTTGTTACTAAGTTATATTTTATTAGGTAACTACATATTATTGCCTTTAATTTGCCACATATTTTTACCAATTACCTAGTTTTGAGACATGTTAAGAATAAAAAAATGAACGCTTAAAATTTTTTTTTCTCTATGTTTTATATAAACAAAGTATTAACAATGTCATTTTTATGAACTTTGAAGCATGTTTTTTTACTATATATTCTGTGTAGGGAGCTACACAACTTGCATTTCAATTGACCTTTGTTTCGTTGCTTGGTAACTAAAGGGTCAAATCCCATCCGGAGTCTTTTAAAGCAATCTTTCCAAGTTATGCAATTGATTTTTTTTTTTAATAATTTTTCTCTGAATATTCTGTTGTTTGCCTGCATATCTTTCTTGCTCCATGATTTAAGGCCTGTGTTATTATCTAACTCAATTAACTCCCATGTATGTCCTAATAGCTTAAGAATAGTTAGTGTCAAACTAACTAAATGGAATATTTTGTAATAGAAGAAAAAATTTTCTCCTTACATATGTCCATATTTCTTTATGTTAACTTCCTGACTAGATAACATAGCATGAATAAAAGTAGACAACAAGAGACCATTCCACTCAGTTATTATTCTGTCATATTGATTTGAAATGTAGTCAGTAATCAGTGTTTTATTTTTCTCATTGTAAAGATGACTTCTAACTACATTGCCAGTTGTAGTACTACCCCTTTGAACAGATGAATCTGCAAAATTCCACATGATGACTTGGATACTTGGACTTGCTGTTTGCCTATGATGAACATCATAATCCTTTGACTTTTTAGTTAAAGAATCATCTTCTTGAACTTAGTCCAAAAATATGTGTTCCATGGTTTCAATGTCTCTATTTATAATAAATCTCTGTTCAATTATATTTTCACATTTTTCCTTAGTTAAATCACAAAGATCACATTATACATCTCCAAGGTGTTGATATGTATTTAAAGCTGTTCAAACTGTTAGCAACAACGTTTTCTTTGATATTCAAATATTATCATTTAAGATAATAATGAAGCCTTCCTCTTTCATGGTTTTGATATCTACATTAAAAAAAGTTAAAGAATGTGCATTCTCATAGGATTCTTTTTCCATCTGGATTACCAGAGACCTCTGTGAAAAATCTAAATTTGGAATTATAAGTTGTTTCTATCAGCATTAGAGTTTAAAAGTTTCAGAGGGCAAAACATTACTATGGTTATATTATTGGAATCTCTTTTGTGTAGCTGATTATACATTTTATGTTCTCCACTGCCATCATAAGCAAAGTTTGTTTCAAAAACTAAATTTATTTGTAAAATATGATATGATACTGTGATAGTATGATGTGATAGTATGATATGATACTGTGATAGTATGATATGATACTGTGATAGTATGATGTGGTAGTATGATATGATACTGTGATAGTATGATATGATACTGTGATAGTATGATGTGGTAGTATGATATGATACTGTGATTTATGATAGACTCTGTAAAGGTAGAGTAAACTTCAATATATGGTTCAGGTAGGTTACCAAAGGAGTGATGGAATTTTTAAAGTCTTTAACTTTTTTCATTTTTTAAACATCCATAGCTCTTAGCATTTTCTTCAGTCTAGCTATAAATCTGAGCTAATTAGGTTTTATGACAGGTTATCAAATAGCTGTATAAGTTTGTCAGCAAAACTGTCCAAACAGACCACTGCTCACCAAGTTGTCTTGCTTTATAATTCTATGTAAATTGTAGGGGGAAAAAAATGGTAATATTGCCAATAATGCTTTAAATAAGCAATTCTAGTACAATATTCTTTACAGTATAATGAGTTTTAAGTATTTTTTACCTGCTGAATGATGAAGTTATGATTGATAAAGTCATGATATCTTTAACAAAGTTTTTCTTTAGATTGATTCTCAAATTTAATTAAAAATTATTTTTATGTTTATAACTGTAATAATAATAATAATAATAATATCAATAATAATAATAATAATAATAATAATAATAATAGCAATAATAATAATAATAGTAATAGCAATAATAGTTAGTTATCTTAAACATTTTTAGTATTTAGTATACATAAAAAATGTTTGTAAATTTTACTTCTCGAATGCAACTTAGAGCTTTATATTTTATAAATAATTAAATTATTAATGCATAATAAAAGCGTGACTTTATATGAATTTTGCAGTTTATATGATAAAAAATATATTTGAATTTTAAAATGGTAAAATAATTTTTTTTAAAGGTCCCAAGAAAGTCTCCACTACCTATTCACAGAAATGTTAAAGACGATGCTGGCTTCTTGATTCGCCACTTTGCTGGCGCAGTCTGTTATCAAACAGTGTGTATAGCTTTTTTTTTATTTGCATTCATATATTTAATCTTTAATCTATTAAGGGCCTTCACTTTTGCTCTATTTTTTGAAATATACAAAAGGGCTTTAGTATGCAGCAGACACCTATTTCTATATAAAAAAAATTTATTATTTTGGGATAAAATATTTTCCATGGCATTTCCACAAAAATCTTCACAATGGCACCTCTCCACAGAAACAAAATACCAATAAACAGTTATTATTAATGATAATAATTTTGTTGTATTAATTATTATTAATATATTGTTTATTATTAATATATTATTAATAATAAACAATATAACAGTTAATCTTTTTTAATAGTTTTGCAACAAATAGTTTTTGTTTTTTTCTTGCGTATTTTATCAAAATTAAAAAAAAAAATAGGTTTAAAACAGTCAACAATACTGATTTTCCTTGTTTTGTTCTAATTTTTAAGTTAAAGTTTTTATTAGAACTTATTATATATAAAGAAAAACATCATTAATAAATGTAAAATATTTTGTAACATTAGAGAAATATCCTGTAACATTGCTTTATTGTCCTTTAAATTATTTGATATGACCAATAGTACTATTTAAAATATGATCTGAAAGGGCAAGAGGTTGGTTTTTGTTTTCGTTGATGGTTTTTAGAAGAAACTCTTTTTTAATAAAATCTTATTGTTTCTATTATTGACTTGAAATAGCATTGATGCAAACTGAAACTCTAACAGCATCATTGTTTCATATCATTTTGATATAATAAGAGAATAAGTGGTCATGAAGAAATTTTTTTCTTCTTTTTGTCAAGATCTTCTTCATTAACACTTAAAATCTCAATTAGTAAAGCAAGAAAGCTGTTTTGTTGATCTTTATTTTGCATTTTGTTAAAATATAAAAGTAAAGACTCCCTAAAGAGAAGGACTCTTCAGCTGTCATTTTCTGAAAACACATATAATACTTGCAATTACATAGAAAGCTTGTCAAATGCAAAGATAATCGTTTATTTCTATCTTGTTCCCATTTTGGACCAAGTTATTATTATTATTTTTTTTTGAGTTTCTGTAATATCTGGATTTGGTCATTTATACCACATTTTAACAATGATAAAATTTTTTTTTTTTCGGTAAAAATAAATTTGATAGACTGTTATGCAAATAGTTGTAAACAGCCCTTCTATACAATGCAAAGGATTTTTAATTTTTCAATGAGTTTATATGTATTTATGTGTGTAAATATTATTTATGTATTTTATTACATAAATGATATTTACACACATTACACGATATGTCTTATTTATTAAGTTATTTTTAAATATTTATTAAACAATTTTTAATTATAGGCTGGGTTTTTAGAAAAAAACAACGATGCATTACATGATAATTTAGAACAGTTACTGCTGGAGTCATCTGATCCATTCATAAAAAGTTTATTTCCAATATCTAAAGTAAACAATATGAAAAGCAAAAAACTTACATTTGAAAGTGTTGGAATGAAATTTAGGGTAGGTTTACATTCGAAAGTGTTAAAAAAGATAATGTTATTTATGATTTTTGTTTAAAATTTGTTGTTTATTTTTTTAGAATCAACTTACATTGTTAATTGAAAAGTTAAGATCAACTGTAAGTTGTTTTTAAATTTATTTTTAAAATTTAAGATTTTCAAAGACTTAAAAGTTTTTTTTTATGTTTTTTTTCTAAAATGCTTGTTAGTATGTAATTTTTTAGCTTATTTTTCAATTTTTTGAAGATGACGTCTTTGATTCTTTACCTTTAAAAACTCTAACAATTCGACTATATTTTGCTTATTATCTTTTGACTATTATTATCTGATAATTACAAACCATTGATGATTAATTAACAAACATTTTGATCTTTTTTTATTGCTGATTTATAAACAGAGATTTTATTGATCATTAGATTTTTTTAACATTTGAAGGTTTTAGACAAAGGATTTAGGTCCTCCATGTTTTCTTTTTTATTGGGTATAAATATTTTTGTATTTAGTATTGTTTTTTGAAAGTTATTAATTACTTTTTAACAAAATTGCAATAGATATTCTTGATATTTTAAGATAAGATTGCAATAGATGTTCTTGATATTTTTAGATTAGATCAACTTTTGGGTCTTAAATTTTTTTTTAAAAATTACAACTTGTTTGATTTATATTAGAAGTGCTTGGATGATTGTGGCTCTCTGCTATAAACACTTTTATTCTTTCTTATTAAAGACCATACATAGTTTCCCATCATGGCTGGTTCCATCAACCCTAATTTTTTTTTTCTGCCAATGCAATTTTTTGGTTAAAGCCATCAAATTGTCTTTAACATTCTTCTTTTTCATTAATCTTAGGTTTTAAATTCTTGACTTAAATCCCATTATGTTTTTTTAATTTTATCAATGGTTTTGTTTCTAAACTCATTCAGTTGAACGCTGTTATTATAAACCATAAAACTGGTTTCCTCTCTAGTTGCTTGGGAAAATAAACTTATAAAACGTCTCTTTAAAAATGTCCTCTGTAAAAATAACCTCTTTAAAAATATTCTCTGTAAAAATTGTCTTTTTAAAAATGTCCTCTTTTACATTGTCCTCTGTTAAATGTATATGTTAAAATGTCCTCTGTTAAAATGCTCTCTATTAAAATACCAAGATAGTAAAATAGTCTAGTATTGTGTAAAGTAGGACTGTTTTGAGTAACAAGTTAAAATGTTAATAATAGAAAAATGATATTCCATTATTTAAACCTTTGCTGATAATAGCATTATTAGAACCTTAGTGAGGTTGAGAGTAATTTCATGGAAGTAATTGCACAAGGGAGGTAATTGCACATAGGAAATAATTGCACAAGGGAAATAATTGCACATGGGAAGTAATTGTACAAGGGAGGATTATTTTACAACTGAACAACTAAAATTTAAAAAAATTTCCTTTTTTTTTTTAGAGTTCAAACTTTGTTCGATGCATAAAGCCTAATGATGCTATGAAAAGTTCTGATTTTGAAGGCGGACAGATTCTTAGCCAGTTGCAATGCGCTGGAATGGTTTCAGTTTTAGAGCTAATGCAAGAAGGTTATCCATCAAGAACTTCATTTACAGATCTACATAGCAAGTATGTTTTGCTCAGATGTTCTCATACTAAAAGTTATACTATAATTAAAAGTAGGCTAGTTCCTAGACTACCTGCATTATAGTTCCTAGACTACCTGCATAATAGTTTTTGTGACTATTTTGATAAATTGTTATAAAAAATTTTGTTAAGAAAATATAATCATGTCATAATGCTAATATATCTAAAAAATGGTGCTAGTAATTTAGAAAGAGAATATATATTTTTAAATTTATACAGGTACAAGAGTTACTTGCCTGAAAAGTTAAGTTGTCTAAACCCACGCACATTTTGTCAAGCATTATTTAGAGCTGTTGGAATAGAAAATGGTAATTTCAAATTTGGAATGTCAAAAGCCTTCTTTAGACCTGGAAAGGTACTTCTTATTATTCAATATTAACTTAATAATAGGTATTTCTTATAATATAATTTGTTTATAAATAAATTAAAAATAAACAAAAGTTCAATTATTTCAAACTTTTGGTCTTGTTGCTGTTACTTGTTTACCTTAGCCCTTCTCGATATTTTTTTGCTTTTTAATTATAAGATCTTGTTTTTCACAGTTTTACATATATTTTTTTATATTTCCTTAATCTTGCACATGGGTTATTATTACTTTTTAGACTTTAGGGCTTTAGATTTTAGGCTGCACAATGTAAACTTTTTTTGTAAATTTTTTTTTGTTTTTGATGTAGTTTTTAGGGCTGATTACAAACATGAAATCAGTTAGGAAGCTAGTATCAATTATTATATTTTAGATATTCTATTTTTATATGTAACAATTGTTTTTTAAAATAATTTCATCCAATCACTACCAATATTAAAGGAAAAAAACAAAACAGCTCTGTTATAGCAAATATTCTAAGATGAAGAAAAACATTTTTAGATCATTTTTTGAGTCTTAAATTTTTTTTACAAAGTTAAAATTTGTTTGATTTATGTTAGAAGTGCTTGGATGATTGTGGCTCTTTGCTATAAACACTTTTATCCTTTCTTACTAAAGACCATACATAGTTTCCGATCATGGCTGTTTCCATCAACCCTAATTTTTTTTTTCTGCCAATAAAATTTTTTGGTGAAAACCATCAAATTGTCTCTAAAAAAGTCTAAACATGAGTGCAAGTTGTGTAAATTATTTTAAAACTTTGGCATATAAAATTCGCCCAATGGTCACACACAAGCAGTGAGATAAAAATTGAGCTTGTGAAAATTAAAACAAAACTGAGTAATAAATGCAAGATAATATGACATAAAAATTACTTGTTAACAGTAATAATATAAAAATCAGCAGATTAATAATATATTAATGAATATTGCAATAAGACTAACTAAATACTGTAATAAAACCAGATAAAGTTAAGCCAAATGAGTGGTTAAAAAATTAGTTGTGGGTAATATAACGATGATATAAGTCGTGATATAAAAATGATGTACGAAGCTGGAAAAAATATTGTTAAGAAGTAAAGTTTTCTCTACGGTTCGAATTACAAGTAACTTTGAGACCATAACTAAATAAAAAGGAAAACATACATTATTAAAACATGTAGAAAGCCGCTAGTTTATAAGAATTGCTCTTATATATATATATATATATATATATATATATATATATATATATATATATATATATATATATATATATATATATATATATATATATATATATGTATATATATATGTATATATATATATATATATATATGTATATATATATATATATATATATATATATATATATATATATATGTATATATATATGTATATATATATATATATATAAATATATATATATATATATATATATATATATATATATATATATATATATATACATATATAAATCCTAAAATGAAAAACTCAATCACACATTATAACCACATATACATAACATACAAATCTATATCTACATTTTAACCACATACTATCTATTAAAAGAAAATATTATCTAAATAAGGATGAGTTCAAACAAAGATAGTTTATCTATGAAAGGATGTGTAAAGAAAGATTATGGTGGTTTGGTTATGTAGGGCATAAAGATCCAGATGATTGAGTATTAGCATCTAGAGAGTTTTAGATTCAGGAGGAAAAAAAAAACTGTAAATATAGTTTGATCATCTCTATCTGCCAAGCCACTTGCTTGAAGTCTATGCTTGAGCCACTGCCCCATCATAAAGTCACATTTTTTTTATTTCTACAAATATTATCATGACTGCTGCTCAAAAGAACTATCATCTCTAGTTTTATTCAACCAAAACTTTCTTGACTCATCCTTCAGCAAAGTTGCATCCCTTTACTCTATCTTTCTCTACTTGCTCTAAAACCTTTTGTTCATCTAGTTTTTTTCCGTGCACTTCAGTGTTTTGGAACTCATTCATCCATAGTGTTATGGTGAAAAAGGTAGTGATTGAGGTAAGAAAACTTGGAGAGAGTATGTTACAGATGACATGAAAAAGCTTTGGTTAAGGAAAGAAGATGTTCAAGATGGTGACGATAATAGCAACAGACTAACAGAAAAAGTCTTTTGACTGTTGACATCCTCTAAAAGCCATATTAATAATTTGAAACTTTCTAAATTGAACTTGAAGCTAAAATGAAACAGTAGTTTTAGTGTTGCTCATATCAAAATTCTAAATTTTGTGAAAATACTAAAAAATTGGTACATTTTTGTAATGATTAGAAAATTAATTACATATTTAGAATTAGTATCAAAAAGCAATTAATATACAACTAATATATGGTAATAAATGCAAAATTTTTGAAAAATTGTTGCGCTGTTATTAACTTTACTCAGTTTTAATTTTTCTTTAATAAATTTGGAATGTTGAGTTTTTTGCAATTATTGGGGTAAACTGAGTATGATGTGTGGGGTATATATGAGGAGCCCATCTGCAAAACGCACTTAGTCGTAAAAATAAAAAAAGTTAATTCTATTTCCACATTCTATATAATGATATCTATCATCTACTTAAATATTAGACAAATTAAAAAGGTTTTGGTCCCAAAAACGGACAAAGAAAATATCAATTTCTGTTGAGCTGCAACTATAGTTTATATAGTTTAGTCTTTAGAATAGTTTAGTTTTACATTGTTTTCTCAAAATCAGTTTACTCAGACATACTCGCAGCACTCCACTGCGAGTCAGGCTATTTGTCAGTCGATGTATGTACTTAAGCCCCCAGCAGCAGGCTATTTCAGTATGACATCAAATTGCTTACCTTAGTACGCAATACTATTTGTATATACATATTATATATATATATATATGTATATATATATATATATATATATATATATATATATATATATATATATATATATATATATGTATATATATATACAACTTTTAAAAGAAAAAGAAGAAAAGGGTATAATGATATATATATATATATATATATATATATATATATATATATATATATATATATATATATATATGTACATCTTTTAAAAGATAAAGAAGGAAAGGTTATAATGAGTACTTTAAGCAAAAATATTTTCAAAAATACCTATGAAAATATTTTTATATATATATATATACTTATATATATATATATATATATTTTTATATATATATATATATATATATATATATATATATATATATATATATATATATATATATATGTATATATATATATATATATATATATATATATATATGTATATATGTATACATATATAAATTTTATTGGTTGGTAGTTTGCAGAATTTGACCAACTCATGCGCTCTGATCCAGAAACCTTAAAAGTTTTAGTTTCAAAAGTTCAAAAATGGATTATAATAAATCGTTGGAAACGAATCATTTGGGGAGCTTTATCTGTTCAAAAACGTAAGCTGATATATATTATTTAATTTTGTGTACTTAAGTCTGCAAGAAAATGTTACTAATTATGTCATCCTGAAGTAGCAATCTGTGAGGAGTTCAGTACATAAATGCTTGATGGTTTGGGTTTTATTCTGTGTAAATTTATGTGACAAAAAAAATTCCTACTTTTTTTTCTTTAATTTTTTCTGCATGTTATTAATGGTGTTTCTTGCAGACTTTAAGTTGATTATATATTTATAAGATTTTATTGGTTGTGTTTAAGTATTAATCACATATTATGCACACTTGCATATTTATATGCATATATTTAAATATCAAGATATGCGTGTGTCACACACACACACACGCACACATGCTAGATATTCAAATTGGTTTGAATTTTTTGATAAAAATAACTATGAGTTGGAAGATAAACCTAAATCTGAACATTTTCTGGAGCTGAATCCAGGCTAATTTTTTGGTGAGTACTCTTGGGAGTTGTTATACAACTATTTCATTTCATCTGAATCAGTTTGGTTTTAGGTATTTGGATTCCTTATGATTTGATTCAGTAAAACCATAATTTTTGCTGAGTACATACAATCATAGAGATACTCTGAACAAAAAAATTCATTGTAAAAAATAAAGTTTGTTAGGATATTTAAAAATGTTTTTGATAAATACTTTTATGGTTTTTTTTAAACAAAATTTAATCAGAATCTAAAATTGCAAAAGAAACTTCATTAACTTTTCTATGCTAAAATTAAATGACTCCTTAATGAGTGTTAAAATCTCAACAAAAGATGTTTAACCTAAAAGTTTTGTAAACAGAGTTTTCAAAGTGATTTCTAAAAAAAGATTTTTAAGCGATAGTTTTAAGTTTTAATTCATAATAAGTAACCACTTATATTTGACTGTAATAATCATTCTGAAAGAAAGTTTTGTGGACTGACAAGTCAAAATTTTGTTTTGTCTCTGTAACTCAAAAAGTATGAAAAAAGTAAAGCAGTTACACCTTGCTGCATTCAAGAAAATGTAATATTTAATGGAATGTTGGTCAGGTATTTTATGTAATTACTTTGAATGTATTGCTAAGTTTTTAGTTATCAAAATTATAAAATAGTAGCTTTTTTTAATTAATTGAAATCTTAATTAAGTTTACTTTGATAATAATCATACAATATTTTATTATAAACTTATTTTCCGTCTGAAATTGCTGGATTTTTGAAAGTAAGTTAGCTTTCGATAAAAAAACACTTCTGTTCTGATCTCTCTGACTGTCTTATTGCTATCCAAATAACCAGAGGGGGAAAAAGTAGCAAAATTTTGTACTCAAGTAAAAGTACTGTTATAGTGAGTGAAATTTTACTCAAGTGCAAGTAAATGTTACTGGTCAAAAAGTTTATTCAAGTAAAAGTAAATGTTACTGGTCAAAAAGTTTATTCAAGTAAAAGTAAAAAGTAGCTCATTAAAAATGTATTCAGAGTAAATGTTACCGCGTTACTTTTTCAACAGGTAACAGGCCTGTTAAATAATAAAACATAAACAATGTGGTCTTTTTTTTTATATATATCTTTACAATTATTAAATTTAAGTAATATTTTTAAGTGTGTGTTTGTTAATACAAGTAATACGATATTAAAAGATGTCATTATTTAATACTCATTTTATCAGTTAAAGCATGTTTTTTTCTTTGTTCTTGAAAAATTTGCAAAAACATAGAATTGGCAAATTTATCATTATACTCTGCAAATAAATATTTATTTCTAAAATGTATATATTTATAAATGTATAAATTTAAAAATGCATATATTTATAAAATGCTTTGAATAAATGATTTTTTTTCTAAATACAAGGAGTATCTAAAAATGGACATCTTCAAAATAAAGCCTATAATTGTGTAACTAGGATATATAAATAATTTTTTTTTTAATTTATTTTTTATTAACATCTTCACTTTCAACAAGGCTGCAAGCAACCACTAATTAGTGTTGGAAGTTACTGGAAGAGAAAAGATGAAGATTGTAGTGCAAGATAATGATTGACAGATGACTTAAAAGATTGCAAATTATATGAATCAGGAAAGCAAGATGAAGGAAGCGAATTCCAAAGAACTGATGTTCAAGGAAAAAAACTAGACGAATAAGAGTTTTTGGAGCACTTAGGAACAGTAACAGAAAAAGGATGAAGCTTAATTGAATGACGAGTAACACGAGAATGAATTTTAGTATTTGGCACAAGAGACGCTAGCTCTTTAGAGCTGTGCCCATTATAGTATTTGTAGAAAAGAGAAAGAGAAGCATCATTACGACGATGTGACAGAGGTTGAAGGTTGGCTGCAAGAGCAGGTCCAACTATGTTTACAATGCGTTTTTGCACCTTGTCTAAAAGAGAAAGGACATCATTAGAAGATCCACCCCAGATATGGCAACAGTATTCCATACAAGGCCGGATTTGAGATCTATAGAGATAGAGAATAGAATCCAGAGTAAGAAAGTGTTGAGCTCGATAAAGAGAAGCGACTTTAGCAGATGCTAATTTTGCAACGGATTTGATATAAGGTTTCCAAGAAAGATCAGAAGTAAGAGTTAATCCTAGAAGATGAAGGGTAGGAGACTTATTGAGTACATTACCGTTCATAAATATAGGAAGGCCTAAATTATTGCGATAATGATTGGCTGAAAAAAATTGAGTTTTATCTAAATTAAAGTTCACCAGCCACTGTGAGCCCCATGCTGTAGCAGAAGTGAGATCCTTTTCAAGCTCAGATGCCCCCTGCAAGCAATCAGAAGGAGTTGGCTTCTTATTGTGACAAGAATAAATGGTATTATCATCAGCGAACAATGTCACCTTAGATGTGAGAATATCTGGAAGATCGTAAATGTAAATTAAAAAGAGTATAAGGCCAAGGATTGAACCTTGAGGAACCCCTGAGGTTACAGAATAAGAAGAAGAGTGCTGTCCATCAAGGACAACTTTTATACTACGATTGGAAAGAAAGGATTCAATAATCTTAAAGATGTGTTCAGATACACCGTAAGAAGAAAGCTTATGGAGAAGACCAGCATGCCAAACTTTATCAAATGCTTTAGAAATGTCAAGAGCGATGGCCTTAACCTCTCCACCTTTATCAAATGCGCGATAAAACCTAGCGGTTATTACTGTTAGCAAATCAGCCGTAGAACGAGAAGAGCGAAATCCATATTGATGATCAGAAAGTAGGTTATGAGATTTGAGATGAGAGATTAAGTGTTTGTTAATTAAAGATTCAAAAAGCTTGCTTATGTTAGGAAGAAGACTAATGGGACAGTAGTTAGACGAATTGAATAGCTCTCCAGAATTTTTAAAAATAGGGATAACAGATGCTGCTTTCCAGCAGGCTGGAAAACAAGACTCTGATAAACACTTGTTAAATTGTTTTGAAAGGATAGACGACAGCTCTGGAGAACACTTCTGCAAGACAATAACAGGTATGTTGTCCGGGCCACAAGCTGTAGAAGAGTCTAAGCGGGAAATCACTTTAGATACAGAAGCTGGATACGGATGTCGAGCAGTGGATCAACCTGTTTGACGGCTATATCAGGTAGAACGCAACTAGTGGAATCAAGAGATGATATTGATGAAAAGTTCTTGGCAAACAATTCAGCTTTGTCTTTTGGTGAGGTGACAAAGTCTGAACTGTACAAAAGAGGTGGAATTACAGGTGGAATTGAAAATAACAAGATATTTTTCATGTTTTTTAGTAGTACTTTATATAAAATGTAAAGATAGTAAATCTTTATTTTAAATTTTCTCTTTAAAATTTTCTTTTAAAATTCTAAAAGACAAATTAAAATTCAGAACATAAGCGAGGCACATTTTTAATGTCTTTGTAACTTAGAAGATTAATAAAAAACTTAGAAGATTAATAAAAATTAAAACAATTTTATAAAACAAGATTTTTATTAACAAAAAAATTAAATCATACTTTTTGTGAAATTAAATCACTATAAATATTTAATATTAAATATTAAAAATTAAATCCTAAATACGCAATAAATTGTTTTTACTCAATCAGGGGTCATCCATAAAGGATGTCACGCTAAGTTTAACTAATGGCAAGAATTAGGAGAATGTTGGCTCTTGAGCGCAGAGATTTGTAGAGTATTATAGCGCTTTGGGTTCAATAAAAATCTCAATGGAAGGGAGTTCTTCTCCTAAAATACTAACCAGAAGTAGAAGTTTCTTCTATTTCTGGTTAGTATTTAAAGTCTGAATGTCATCTTTTATGGATGTAATGTATACAATTTAATATGTAGCTTTTAGTTATTAAAATTATATAATGTAATTTTTTTATGTTTATTGAATTATTTATTAAGTTTACTTTTATAATAATCAAAAAATGATTTATTATAAACTTATTTTTCATCTGAAATTACTTGAATTTTAAAATTAAGTTAACTTTCGATAAAAAAACACTTCTGTTCTGATACTTATCTCTCTGACTGCATGTACTTATTATCCAAATAACTTATTTTGAGTTTGCTTGCAAATGTTATTATAAATGATGAGAACTGGGTACTCTATGTTATTCACACCAGAAATCGCTAATGGCTTGGCCGTACTTAAAAGCCAATACTGACTATTAGTCACACACAAAGATGAAGAATAATTCATGGCCTTCTATGCTTTAAGGAGTTAAATAAACATTAAAAAAAAAAAAAAAAAACTTTTAACTCAAAAGAGTCTAATTATTTTTGCAAACACTGAATAAATTTACATATTATATAAATATAATGTATTTATATAACCCAATATAAGGTTATATATTTATAAGATTATATATTTTTAAGATTATATGTTTATAAGTTTTTACATTTTTAATATCTGTTTATAATTGTTTTACAAAATTTTGTTCTTTTAGTTGCAAACAAAATCAAATATCGTCAAGAAATGCTTGTGTGCATACAAAAAAATATTCGAATGTTTTTAGCCAAGAAAAAACACAAACCAAGGTTATAAATTTATAAAATTTTGTTTTATTTGTATATTTGTTTTATTTTTGTTTATTTCATTTATTGTTTAGAAAATAATAACTTTTAAAGTTGTATTAGCAGAATAAAAAAGAAAAAAAAAATTATCAAAGTTTGGTGAATAAAAGCTGAAGTTTTTTGTTTGTACTTAAAATAGTGAAAAAATTTTATTATTTCATAAATGCCCAAGAGATTACACCCAAAGTGGTGCACTCTACATTTTAGTATGTAGACTTGGAAATTATTTTTTTTTTGACAAGCGTTTCAGTTAGTGTAATTTTAATGAAGCATTTCAGTTTAATGAAACATTTTGATGAAGTTTGCTTTTTTTCTAATATAGTGAAAATTAATAAGTTGTTGTAAAACTAGCTTGCTGTGTTATTAGCTTTATGTTAAACCAATGTTATTAGCTCTATGTTAAACCAATGTTATTAGGTCTATGTTAAACCAATGTTATTTTCATTGTGTTCAAGTTTATGTAATTGAAAATAATTTGGTATTGATTTGTTAGTTTTTTTAATTTACCATTAACTAAAAACTTTTAATTTTACAGGTATAAAGCATTAGAAAAGATGCGAACATTACATGGCCAATTAAACCAACTTATGGAAATGGGTAAAATTTAAAAAAATTAAAATAATTTTTTGGATTATTTTTTTACTGTAAAATTTCTTTTTATCTAGGAGTTTTCAGTACTTATTTGTTTTTTTGGAAATTTTTGTTTAATATTAGAATTTCTTTATTTATATAATAAAATAATTTTTTTTTTACTATTAATTATTTTAAGATAAGCATATTTGGGGCCAGATATCTAATCCATAATGTTCTTTTTGAAAAACAAATGTGTTATATTTTGATACATACTTGCAGAGAATTTCTTTTTTATTTTCACTAAGATCCACTCTCCCAGGCTTAACTAAATAGATTGAAGGAATCATGACACAAAGGTGATTATTGGAATTGTCCCATAAAAGAGAGGGATGGAATCTTCCCTGAAAAGAGAGGGAAGGAATTGTCCCAGAAAAGAAAGAGAAGGAATCGTCTCAAAATAGATAGAAAAGATGTAAAATCAGATTTTACACCTCATCTTTTCTATCAAGATTAAAATTTAATTACTATCTGCTCTACTTAGAAATTTAATTAAAAGTTAGTATTACTATCTGCTCTACTAGAAGCTAGTTGAACTTTTGTAGTATATATCATTATATACTATATATATATTTATATATCATTATATGCTATATATATATATAAACTATATATCATTGAAACTAAAATTAAAACTTTAGTTTAAAACCAACAAATGAAAAAGTACTTGCTGGCGGTCAGGCTAGCGTGCGTGGTTTTAAAAACTTGTTTTTATTTAAATTTTTTTAAAAAAAAAGCTCTGATTGAAATAACTAAAATAAAAACACTAAAACCAATGTTTTACTTAAATTCTAAGTAAAACAATTAAAATAAAAAATGGCAAAACAAAAGTTTTATTTAAATTCTAAATAAATTAGTTCATACATAAAAGTATGAACTAATTTATTTAGGATTTATCAGGATTGTCATCAAAGTGTTTGATGTTCAAAAAATATTTATTGCAATTTCAAAAAAATGCTTGTATACTTTTGGCTTTTTTATTAGCTCTTGCCAAAGTATTTGGATGCGTGTGGGAGCAAAAAGGCTTGAGCATGAAAGCACTGACCTAATGGAGAAGACTGTGAGACTGCACTACCAAGATTATGTTAGAATCTGCAATTATGTTAGAATCTGCTTTTTCATGTTAGAATCTGCTTCATGTCCTGCTGCCTTGTAGGATACGTCCTTTTAGGCAAAGGCTAGGAGATGCCAACTCCGACATAAAACACCCGCTGCCTTGGAGCTCTTGATTGAGTAAAGGCTAGAGATGGTGTCTCAATAAGAATACTCAACTTGGGCAAATGTTAAATGCATCCGGCTGCTGTCTTGTAGAAGGCCTCCTAGGCAAAGACTTAAGGGGTAAACAGATTCTATCTGTTGACCAGCTTCGCACCCCTTCTCTATCTATTAGGCTGGTGCAGATGTATTTTTAATACATTGTTTCCAGTTTAGGATGTTGAATGCTAGATCTTCTTGACTCGATGCATGGGTTTTGCTTGTATCTCTGTTTCTATGACTAGGCAACTGCTTCTATTATCTCCTAATGAAGTTACAGCTCTAAAATTCAGTTTTATGGTTCTGAGGCCAGTTGGTAGTCAGGTTTTCCCAAACTCTGTGGTAGCTCTCAGAGAGGCTGATTCCATCAACAGCTAAAAAATATCAAAGTATTAACAGTGCCATGTTGCGCATGGATGGTGTCCCTGTTTGCACTTTTGGTGTGCATTGCCAAGGCCACATTGGAGCCCTTTGTTATGGCTTAGGGTTTATTAGTAGTAATGAGGTAATTGTTTGGGGTATTAAAAAGTGCACTGAGTACTATCTATGTTTCAAGTCAAGTTCTTTAACAAATTTAAAAATGAATAAAGAAACAAAAAATGTAAAACACAAAAAACCATAGTCATCACCAAATATCGCTAAACCTATCATTCACTAATATTCATGGTCTTCGAAGTTCTGTTGAGTCTTATCTCTTTCAAAGTTCACCAGACCAACTAGTTTTTTATGAGACTAATTTGAGTTCAACTGTCTCATCTTGTCATCTTAGTGTTGATGTTTATCTTCCTTTAATTTGTAAAGACTCCAATAGTCACATGCTTGGCCTGGGCGTTTACATTCATAAGAATTCACCTATTTTTTGGGAAACTAGGTTTGAACCCATGGACTACTCTTTTATGTGCTTTTGTTTAGCACCACTTCACTCTATCGCCTTTCTCTTTGTTCTATATCGCTCTCCTTCATCTCAAGACTGCATTCTTCTTGATGTTATTTCTGATCATATTGACCAAACCCTCTCTCTTTATTCATCAGCCAATGTTGTTGTTTTCGGTGACTTTAATGTTCATCTCACCGAATGGCTTAGCTCTAGTGTCAGTGACTCTGCAGGCATTAAAGCCCACAATTTTTGCCTTTCTCAATCTCTAACTCAAACAATCAACTTTCCAACTTGCTTTCCAGACAACTCGAATCATTTACCTTCTCTACTCGACTTGTGTCTTGTTTCTGATCCTAGTCAGTGCTCAGTTTCTCCACATTCACCCTTAGGTGCCTCTGATCACAGTTTGATCTCTCTAAAACTATTATCTCATTCTTCTTTATCATCAGAATCTCTCTATCATTGTACATCTTACAACTACCTCTTTCCGTGATTTTCTTTGTGATAGTTCTTGGGTAGAAATCTTTCGTCTTCCTGTTGACAAATGTACTTCTTACATAACTTTGTGGATTCAGGCTGGCATGGAATCCTTTATTCCCTCTCGACAATTTCAGGTCAAGCCTCACTCTTCTCCATGGTTTTCCTCACATTGTGCTGCTACAATTGCTAATCGAAACCATTACTTCCATATCTATCAGCAAAACAATTCTCCAGAAAACAGACGTCTGTTTATTACTGCTAGAAACCATTGTAAAAAGGTTTTGTCAAACGCCAAAGCCCACTATTCTCAGGTAATGAAATCTTGTATTTCATCACAAAAGTTAGGCTCTCGTGATTTCTGGAGAATCTTTAATAGCATCAATAATAAGGGCAAATCTGTAATTCCACCTCTTTAGTATCGTTCAGACTTTGTCACCTCACCTAAAGACAAAGCTGAATTGTTTGCTAAGAACTTTTCATCAATATCATCTCTTGATTCCACTAGTTGCATTCTACCTGATATATTCAAACAGGTTGATCCATTGCTTGACATCCGTATCACTCCAGCTTCTGTATCTAAAGTGATTTCCTGCTTAGACTCTTCTACAGCTTGTGGCCCAGACAACATATCTGTTATAGTCTTGCAGAAGTGTTCTCCGGAGCTGTCATCTATACTTTCAAAACTATTCAACAAGTGCTTATCAGAGTCTTGTTTTCTAGCCTACTGGAAAGCAGCATCTGTTATCCCTATTTTTAAAAATTCTGGATAGCGATCTGATTTGTCTAACTACCGTCCCATTAGTCTTTTTCCTATCATAAGCAAGGTTTTTGAATCTTTAATTAACAAACACTTAATCTCTCATTTTGAATCTAATAACTTACTTTTTGATCATCAATATGGATTTTGATCTTCTTGTTCTACAGCTTATTTTTCTAACAGTAATAATTGATAGGTTTTATTGTGTATTAATTAATGGTGGAGAGGTTAAGGCCATCGCTCTTGACATTTCTAACACTTTTGATAAAGTTTGGCATGCTGGCCTTCTCCATAAGCTTTCTTTTTACGGTTATCTGGTAGCATCTTTAAGATTATTGAATCTTTCCTTTCTAATCGTATGTAAAAGTTGTCCTCAATGGATAGCACTCTTTTTCTTATTCTGTAACCTCAGGGGTTCCTCAAGGTTCAATCCTTGGCCCTATACTCTTTTTAATTTACATATAACAATCTTCCAGATATTCTCACATCTAAGGTGGCTTTGTCAACACCCTTTGATTGCTTGGAGGGGGCATTTAAGCTTGAAAAGGCTCTCACTTCTACTACAGCATGGGGCTCACAGTAGCTGGTGAACTTTAATTCAGATATAACTCAATTTTTTCAGGCAATCATTATTGCAATAAATTAGACCTTCCTATATTTATGAACGGTAATGTACTCGATGAGTCATCTACCATTCATCTTCTAGGATTAACTCTTACTTCCGATCTTTCTTGAAAGCCATATTTAAAATCCATTGCAAAATTAGTATCTGCTAAAGTTGCATCTCTTTATCGAGCTCAACACTTTCTTACTCTGGATTTTATTCTCTATCTCTATAAATCTCAAATCTGGCCTTGTATGGAATACTGTTGCCATATCTGGGGTGGATCATCTTCTAATGATGCTCTTTCTCTGTTAGACAAGGTGCAAAAATGCGTTGTAAACATAGTTGGACCTGCTCTTGCAGCCAACCTCCAACCATTATCACATCATTGCAATATTGCTTCTCTTTCACTTTTCTACAAATGGGCACTGATTTAAAAAGCTAGCGTCTCTTGTGCCATCTACTAAAATTCATTCTCGTGTTACTCGTCATTCAATTAAGCCTCATCCTTTTTCTGTTACTGTTCCTAAGTGCTCCAAAAACTCTTATTCGTCTAGTTTTTTTACTCGAACATCAATTCTTTGGAATTCACTTCCTTCATCTTGCTTTCCTGGTTCATATAATTAGCAATCTTTTAAGTTGCCTGTCAATTGTTATCTTGCTCTGCAGTCTTCATCTTTTCTCTTCCAGTAACTTCCAACACTAATTAGTGGTTGCTTACAGCCTTGTTGGAAGCAAAGATGTTTAAAAAAAAAAAGATTAATAGTTTATTTTTATTATGCTTGATAATATGTTATTAAATAATTCAATTATTTGTTTTTAAATTGATTAATTTAAATAATTTAAATATTTTTAGTTTCAATGTTAAAGAATGATAAAGATATTTTCAACAAACAAGTTCAAGTTCTTACTAACGATGTTAATAACAGTATAAAGCAAATTCAGGTTTTTAAATATATTTTGTAAATAATAGAAAAATGTTTTACTTAATTATCAAAAGATTGCTATATTTCATCAATTATATTTGTAAAAAAATGTAATTAGTAAAAATAAATGTAAATAATTAAAAAAAAAAAAAAAATTGGTAATATACATAGTTTATGAAAAACAATGTAAATTATGTTCATAATTTTTTTCTTATGAATGAAATTATAGTTTTAGACAACAAATACTTTAATTTTCATATCCAAAACATAAAAAGGTAGAGCAGCATAAAATGTTCAATAAATAAAGTTCCACATTTTGTTTCTTCCTAGTATACATTATATCCAAGATACATAAATGAATATTTTACTAAAAAATTTGTTTACAATTCAAAGCCTTTTGGGGGTAAACTTTTATCTTTTCTCAAAAATATTTTAAAGCAATCTTTCAGTTTTTTTTTATCAGCTTATGTATTTGACTAATGACATGTGACTAATGGCATGTAACTAATGACATCTGACTAATGACATCTGACTAATGACATCTAACAATTTCAATTATGCAACTGAGACTATTATTACTATTGATTCCTTACTTACGAAACCAATTGAATCGTTCTTTTTCAAAACAACTGTCAGAGTTATACTTGCATGTTTGCACCATAAAACTCTTTCTAAATCAGATTTCTACCTCCTGATAATCTACCTTTCTACCTCCTGATTCTACCTTTCTATCTCCCTCCACATTTCTACCTCCTGATAATCTGTTTATATAATCAAATATTTTTTTTTAATCAAACAATATTGCTCTTTCAATTTTGTAAAGAAGTTTACTGTATTTATAATCTAACCTGTGGTTTGCTATGGACTATAATTTTTTTACAGGTGTTTTTTTTTTAGTATTTCTGGTATCTTTTTTGTTCCTTAGAATTATTGTATGATTATGAAAGTATTTTCAAAGTTAAATGAATAACTCCCGTAAAATTGATCTAAAAATATATATATAACCTTATATAATTATCCTAAAGTACTTGTATTTTTTAATGGTTCTGTACTGTAACAAATGTGTACTGTAACAAATGTGTATTGTAACAAATGTGTACTGTAACAAATGTTTACTGTAACAAATGTGTACTGTAACAAATGTGTACTGTAACAAATGTGTACTGTAACAAATGTGTATTGTAACAAATGTGTAGTGTAACAAATATTTACTGTAGCAAATGAGTATTGAACAAACATGAACTGTAGCAAATTAGTATTGTGACAAATGTGTACTGTAACAAGTATAGTTATCATTTTTTGATAATGGCATGTATCATGACCATGTATTGTTTTCCCAAACCACATAAAGCAGTTTTTCCAGTAACATCAAATGTCCACAAAAAAGTGCCAGATAACAAGTAGCAACTAATGGTCGTCAAATGTACACAAAAAAGTGCCAGATAAACTAGTTACAACTGTAACTAGTTTATCTGGCACTAGTTTATAGCACAGTTACAATCCTAAAACTAAAAAAATGTGCTAACAGCCAAAATCTTAAAATGTTTACATAGCTCAGAAATAAATAAAACATTTAAAAATTTAAAAGTTCAAGATTTTGAAGATCACACACAATTTAATTCAATTCAAGATTACACTTCAAATTAATAAAACAGTGTGATACCAACTATTATTTGAACAAAATAAAAAATAAACTAAAATTGCAGAGTATAATGCAGTGTTTAATCAAGTGTAGAAGAGAGTATAAAATGCAATATCAAGTGTTGATGATCAATGCTTCCTTCACTATCTTGAATATATAGCTAATATCCTCTTATAAGCTTTTATATTGTAGAGGATATTATGGTCTTCTTCCTCTAATTTTCTCCGACCTTAATCAGCAAAATATATCATTAAAAGGTGAAAAGTCATTAAATTTACAAACTACATTAGTTTTATATTGTTTATATTAGTAACAGTAGAACAGTAGTTTTATATTGTTTATAATAATTAACTGTAGAAGCCTTGTTCTAAGGAAAGTAAATAATATAATATTTTGGAATTTACCTCTTGAAACTTGAAATTTAAGGAGTAATGATTGTAAATAGATCATATTAGGAATCCACTAATTGATAAAATGTTTTAGCATTTACCTCCTGAAACTTGGAAGTTAAGAAATAATGGTTGTAAACAGATCATACTAGAAATCCACTAAACAAACAGTTCATCATTATCATCTCTTGATTCCACTAGTTGCGTTCTACCTGATATAGCCATCAAACAGGTTGATCCACTGCTCGACATTCCTATCACTCCAGCTTCTGTATCTAAAGTGATTTCCTGCTTAGACTCTTCTACAGCTTGCAGCTATTCTGCAGCTATTCTGTAACCTCAGGGGTTCCTCAAGGTTCAATCCTTGGCCCTATACTCTTTTTAATTTACATTAAAGATCTTCCAGATATTCTCACATCTAAGGTGACATTGTTTGCTGATGATACTACCATTTATTCTTGTCACGATAAGAAGCCAACTCCCTCTTATTGCTTGCATGGAGCATCTGAGCTTGAAAAGGCTCTCACTTTTACTACAGCATGGGACACAGTAGCTGGTGAACTTTAATTCAGATATAACTCAATTTTTTCAGGCAATCATTATCGCAATAAATTAGACCTTCCTATATTTATGAACGGTAATGTACTTGATTTTTTTCTATATTTGCAATCTTTTAAGTCGTCTGTCAATCGTTATCTTGCTCTACCAACTTCATCTTTTCTCTTCCAGTAACTTCCAACACTAATTAGTTGTTACTTGCTGCCTTGTTGGAAGCGAAGATGTCAAAAAAAAAAAAAAAAATTCATAGTAGAAATACACAAAACCCAATTTAAACCCAAAATAGTATCAATGGTAGTTATTATATAACCTTTTTTTAAAAACTTATTCACCTCCAGAAAGCTGAGAAAGCCACTTCAGGCGAGGAGGATACTTTATTTTGGTTATTTCGAAATAGACTACATTTATTGGTTTTATGTTCACAAGTTATTCATTATTTTCATGATTTTAATATTTTCTCCTCCTTATCTTATACATTATTTTTATGGTTTTCTTGTTCTATATTTAAACATTATTTTTGTATTTTTATATGTTATTAACAAAATTATAATGATTTTTTATTACAACAATTTATTTAAATCCATCTATAACTATAAGTAAAATATGTATAATATGATATATTGTAATTATAACATATTTATTATTTTTGTGTTTTATATATTTCTTTTTCATTATATATGATAAAAATGTAAACATTATTATTAAAAAATCCTTAAAACATGTTGATACAAATTTTTTTAATATATTTTTTAGAATAACATTATGTCAGAAAGCCAGATGACCACTCGTTATAATGAACTTGTGCAGCAAATTTCTAAACAGCTATCTGTTTTGCAATCTCAAGTGACAGTAGAAAAAGAGCAGGAAAAAGTTAGGAAGCTTCAAGAACAAATGGAACTTGAGAAAAAGAAAAGAATTGAGGAAGAGAATCTGAAAATTCAAGAAGAACAACTGCGAAAAGAGTAATTTTTTTGATGTCAGATTTATTTTCATTTTCATACATATATATATATATATATATACATATATATATATATATATACATATATATATATATATATATATATATATATATATATATATATATATATATATATATATATATATATATATATATATATATATATATATATATATATATATATATATATATATATATATAAATAGTATTGTGTACTAAAGTAAGCAATCTGATGTCATACTAAAATAGCCTGCTGCTGGGGGCTTCAGTACATACATCAACTGACAAATAGCCTAACTCGCAGTGGAGTGCTGCTACATCGACTGAGGGTTTGGGATGGGGCAGCAATCATTTCATTTATCATTCTTCGTTTTTTTTCTTCTTTTTCTAAAAAAGCGGTATAGCTTAAGGTAAGCAAAAAAAGTGTATCAAGCGTATCAAAATACGCTTTAGTAAGTGTATATATATATATATATATATATATATATATATATATATATATATATATATATATATATATATATATATATATATATATATATATGTATATATATATATATATATATATATATATATATATATATATATATATATATATATATATATATATATATATATATATATATATATATATATATATATATATATATATATTAATTACAATTAAATAATAAATTATTTTATGTTGTTGTGGCATACACTATAATGTATTTTTAAACAGCCGTTTGGCTAAGGAAGCCAAAATGAAGGAAGAAGCTGAAGCAGCTGAAAGAAAAAGACACGAAGAAGAGCAGAAAAATAAACTTGCCAATGTAATAAGTTTTGACAAATTTTAGTTATTTTTTTTTTTTCCCTTAAGTAGTTTTATTTTTTATTTAGTCAAGCATTTCTGTACATATTTTAGGAAAGCAGGAAGAATGAGGATCTAAGGGAACTACTACTTCTGTATGTTGAAAAAAATATTTTTCAGCCATTTGAAGACTTTTTATTTGTAAATTGTTGTTGTTGTTGTTTTCAGTTATTTGAAGTTTTTTGCTGTTGTTGTTGTTTTCATTTATTTGTTGTTGTTTTTTCTCTTGTTTATTTATTTTTTTAATTATTTGTAGTGAACAACGTGAGGAACAACAGCGTAGAGACTATGAACTGGCTTTACGTTTAGCAGCGGTAATTTTTTTTTGTTTTATGAACTTACAGTGCCGTCACATGATGGGGAGGGGGAGGAAAGGGTGCTAACTACCTTAACATGTAGTAAATAATTTGTTGCTCAATTTTATTTTATTTCATTTTTTTGTAACATTTCAATTTTAGTATTTCAATTTTAGTATTTTTAATTGGTCATTAGTACTTAAATCACAATTATTAGAATTAAAATTCTAATAATTGTGATTTAAGTACTAATGACCAATAGCCTATTATTTTACTATCTTATTGTTTTATATTATTGCAAATCTTGTCTGTCTTGTTTACTGCTAGATGTAAGCCCATGTCAATATATAACTGTTGACTAATATTTTGTGTGACCTCTAGTTTTATCTGTTCCTATGCTTTTTACTATGTAAATTGTGTATGAGTTATTTACTATGTTCCCTCTTCTATGTTGTACTTGTATCTTGTATGTTGTACTTGTATCTTGTATATCAATTGTTTAAGTGGCAAACAAAAAGGTTTTCTTTGCCATGATATTTTTCGCAAAACTTTTTTTGGTATTTTACTGAACTTTAATAAATTACTTTGCATAAGTAAAGCTTGTTTCTTCAATAACAAAATGAAATATATATTTCCTAATGTTAAAAAATAAGTAATTTCGGTGCTTAGGATTAAATCACAAAAATAGTTATAAATTGTTATTTATAATTATTTTTTTAAATTATTATAAATTGTTATTTATAATTATTTTTTTTAATAATTATAAATTCTTATTTATAATTGTTTTTATAAATAATTATAAATTATTTATAATTATTTTTATGACTTAATTTTAGTCAAGATGTTTAACTGATTCTATATTGGGGCAAATGAGACTTTCTAATCATGGTAAACTTGTCCCTAATATATATATATATATATATATATATATATATATATATATATATATATATATATATATATATATATATATATATATATATACATATAATATATATAATATATATATTATATGTATTACAATTATAAAATAACTGCTAAATGTTAGTGATAATTGTTTAAAATATTTTTTAGGACCCTTCCACAATGGATTCTGAAGATTTAATGCAAATAAAAAGGTAAATTTTTAGTTTGTAATAAATATGTTTCTTTTATATAATAAATCAACTTATAAAATACTTAAAATGAATTCTATATAAGTAGATAATATAAATGTATTCTTTGTTTTAATTTAGTATAAAAAAGTTTTTAAATCTTTTAGAACAAGCAATGAATCAGATCCAAAGTCAGCGAAGTATAACTTGAAAAAATGGAGTTATTCAGAACTAAGAGACACAATCAATAATTCTTGTGGTAAACATAAAATTTTATCTTTGAATTTTTTTTTCTTAAGTTTATTTAAGTTTATTAAGTATATCAAAATTTAAATTGATTCCTGATAAAAACATCTAAAACAACATATATGTTGTTTTAGCTGTTTTTATACAATTATACAAATAAATTGACTAATGAAATAAGTTACTTGTTCAGGAAATACTTCTATTTGTTATAGACTGCTCATTTTATGCATAAAGTGAGCAGTTACTTTATGCATAAAATGAGCAGTTTATAACAAATAGAAGTATTTCCTGAATGAAGTAACTTATTTCATTGGTCAATTTATTTGTGCCGCCATTGCACTGTGGGAATATTCCATTAAAACAGGTGACTAAAATAAAATTATTGTTGCATTGAGTAAAAATGAGATTTAAGATTTTATTGTTGTGAAATAAATTGTGCAATGGTGAACTAAATTGTGCAATTTTTTTAGGTTTCCAAAAAATAATTTTGATAATTTAGATAGTGGGCTTAAATACATTATTTCTAGGATATAAGTCAGAGAAGACAAAATTAGTTTCTTTAATCATGTTAGGTCTGGCGTGACAGATCGAACAGCATTGTGTTGAAGAAGTGTCCGTGGTGTAAACTAAGATTTTCCCATCAATCATTGAAAGGGCAAAACTATAGTTTTGCCCTTTCAATGATTGATGGGGAAATCTTAATAAAAACAAACTTATGCCCTGGTAGGTTAATTTTAACAGGATATAAATTAAGAAATTTCTTTTTCAATTTCCTCCTTAATTTTTAATACCACTTTTTTATTTTCCTTTATATACTCTACTCATAATTGGTCTACAGAATCTAATACTCTGAGACATTATGTTATTCCATAAAATATTGTATGAATCTGGTTGTACATGTATCTGGTTGTACATGTTGAAGAGGTGATGTTACTGTGACTAATAGGCCTGAATCTAAAAGGATAAATTATTAAAACGCTGATGCTATTTTGAGTGACTTGATGTTCTATCCATACCCTAACTACTAATTAGTATTAATTTATCAGTCTTTTTTTTATTATCAAAATGTTTTAAAATTTCCTTTTCCTGTAGTTTCACAAGCCTCTTGGATGTGTAATCCATAAGATCCTGTAGTTTAACTTTAAACCTTTGTTTCAGTAACTTCAATGGATGTTTTTAAAATTGAGCACTTATTTTTTTTTTGAAAACTGCTAGATAAGATGGAAATCTGCATGGTGCTTCTTTATGAGTATTTTCATAAACATTTTTTAAAAGTTTGTTATTCAAGAAAAATGCAAAAGTTTCTTCAGATGTCATTTTCTCTTGCAATTTGGTTAGCTGAGTGTAAATAATGATTTGTGTTGCTTCTTTCAAACGACACTAGGTAATTTGACTAATTATATTAATTAAATGCTGTTCTTCATGCCACTAACAATTATTTATCGACAGATTCCATTTTTGAATCAAATGAAATAATTGCTATTAATTGTCTTTTGGTGCAAGAACTCAATTTATCAAGCTCTTTTTTTTGGTCGACCTTTTTTTGCTGATTAATTTATTAAACCCTCTTGATTACCTGGTGATTCAATTAAATCAATTGTTTTAAAAACAGAATTAGGCTAAACCTGATTTCTACTATCAATTTTTTTTTTTAATTTGATGCATGCTATAGTGCAACATACTTTGCAAGAGTTATTTTTAATCTCTTTCTTAATAAATTTATTTTGTCTTCTCTGACTTGAATCCTAGTAAAAATGTATTTAATCCCACTATTTACATTATCAAAAGTATTTTTTGAAACCTGAAAACATTGCACAATTTGTCTTGAACTGATTTCCTCCATTATCTTAGTTCACAACAATAAACTTTCAAAGTAAAAAGAAACTTTTTAATAACATTTAAAATTTCATGTGGTTTTTGGTCAATTAGTGGGACATCGATAATGCACTTGAGAATTATTTTTTCTTAAATTAATTATGTATTTTAAAACTATAAACACATGAAATTAAAATTAAAAATAACTTTTTTCCTTTCAAGAACAACACAAAAACAAATTTACTTAAGTCTTTCATGCCTTAAAGTAGTTTTTTTTTTTACTTTTAGTAATGATGTATATATTGTCAATTTTTTAATGATCTTTATATTAAAAAAATAATAATTACTAAAACCCAGCCTCTTGAGAATTTTTATCAAAAATTCTTTTAAAACCTAACTTCAAGCAGCCAGTACCATCGAGCCTGTCATATTTAGAATTTCATAAGTTGGAAAATTCTTAGTGAGGATGTTAGTAACAAAACCCACTATCAGACATTATGTTTGAAGTAAGTCACTTTTTTGATTTTTGGCCATGTTATTTCCCACCGGTTTATTTGTTATACAATGGTAGTTAATTGGTAGCGCAATGATAATACAATAATGATACAATGGTAGTGCAATTGTAGCACAAATAAGTTCACCAATGATATTTGGGCAGTAGTTTAAGCTCTTGTTTTCATTATAAGAAATTTTAAAGTCTCTGCCATGTTCCTTTTAATAATGTGCATAACTTGTTTCATTTTAAAATGTCTTTTATGCATAATCAGTTTAATCATAAACTTAATTAAAATCAAGAAAAATAGTTTTCATCATGTAGATTTGTTGATTTTCTTTTTCATTTTAAATTGAAAATGAAATTTAACATTGATAAATGTTCTGTAATGCACTTAGGGTACAACAACAAACCCCATACTTATAATATGCATGATCCAGAAAAAAACATAAGAGTAAACATTAAACCCATAAATTGCGAACAAAATTTAGGTATTCACATAGATTTAAACTTATTATTTTCCAAACACACAACTATTTAAATCAACAAAGCCACGTAAATAACAGGAATAATAAAAAGAACATTTACATCATATTCAGATTTATTATACTTCAAAAAACTATTTTCAGCTCTAGTCCTCCCTGAATACTGTCGATCAATTTGTAACCCTGAACTTCTCAAAGACAAACAGTAAATAGAAAACGTACTTTATATATGTAATCACTATTGACTTGCTTATATAAAGTGTTTTGAGTTCATCTTTCGCAATCCTGGCAGTTTGGGTGTTATACGGCAGTGTTATATGGTATATAGGGTATATATATATTATAGGTTGTTGTACTGTGGTGTTAAAATTAAAGTAACAAGTTTTATATCATAATTTTTTTTTTACATGAAAATATTAAAAGTTCAAAAAAAAAATGCTAATTTATTTATTTTATTATTCCTGAAACATTTTTAAATGAAATGCATTTAAAAAAGTTTCAGGAATAAAATAAAAAAGAGAAATGTTTTTTTGTTCTGTGCAATATTTTCATGATGATGATGATTCTAATGCATATCTTGTGTTTATATCTCTTTATTCTGTGCTAATATGTAAACTAAATAAATGCTTTTTCTGATGTTAATGTTTTCAATAACATTTAAAATCCCTCACCAGATGTGTAACTGCTTATTTTATACATTGTCATTTTATAATATCTGCATTATAGTGTTGTTCTTCTTTGTTTTAAAATAAAAAATTGTTCAATTTTAATAGATTTGGAGTTGCTTGAAGCATGCCGTGTTGAGTTTCATAGAAGATTGAAGGTATATCATGCGTGGCGCAAGAGAAATATAAATAAAACAGAATCTGCACCAAACGCACAACGTGCTCCAGCAGACATAGTTAGACAATGTAATTTTTTTTTATATATTTATTCAATATTTAACTAATAATAAAAAGTTCTTTTTTAAAGTTCTCTTAATTCTTAATTAATTGCTTTCTTTATAATTATATTTAATTATTGTAATCTCAATGTTTTATTCTTTTCAATTATTTATGAACTTATTTATATTAATTTGGTATTTAAAATTATTATTATTAAAAGATATATTTTAGAGGTTCTTTAGTTTATAGTTTGGTTATATCAATTCTGTTAATGAAAATTTATTTTTTGCTTTAGTTTTTTATGTATATTTTGTGTTTCGTTTATATAGTTTTTTATACAGTTAAAATATTTATTTGATAACTAATTTAATAAAATATAAATTTAATTAAAAAAGGATTTTGTACTAGTATTTTATGTTTTATAAATTTAAATTATTTTATTTAAAGGTTGTTATTTGTTTATTGTTATTATTTTTGTTGTTTTGTGTCTAAATTAAGGTTCATTTTAAAAAGCACATGATTTGTTATTTTAAGAGCACATGATTTGTTATTTAAGAGCACATGATTTGTTATTTAAGAGCACACGATTTGTTATTTTAAGAGCACATGATTTGTTATTTTAAGAGCACATGATTTGTTATTTAAGAGCACACGATTTGATATTTAAGAGCACACGATTTGTTATTTAAGAGCACATGATTTGTTATTTTAAGAGCACATGATTTGTTATTTAAGAGCACATGATTTGTTATTTAAGAGCACGTGATTTGTTATTTAAGAGCACATGATTTGTTATTTAAGAGCACGTGATTTGTTATTTAAAATCAAATTAAATTAAAAGTTTATAACAATTCTGCGTTTATTTTAAAATTCAAAAAAATTTAAATTTTACAATCTGTTAATTGAAAAACTAGTGCATAGGGAGCAAGAAGGTAATGGAAAACCAGTGCAAAGAGGACATAAATATCTTTTAAGTTTTATTGATTTTATTTTTATGTAGTACTTTTTGCTTAAGTTGTTTAAAAATTCTAAATTTAAATCTCTTATATACATTTCATGATTCTATATATATTCTATATTCATGATTCATATAGGTGAAGTGTCTTCATTTATTCCAAGGATCGAAACCTCCAAAAACACAAACTCAAATGCTCAAAGATATTTCAGAGTTCCATTTTCTAAACCATCTGATCAGTATAGAGATCCTGCTTACAAAAAAGTTGGATACTGGTGAGTCTTTTTGTTTACTGTTTTTTATGTTTAAATGCAAATTTTTATATCCAAAACACGTCGAACGATGCTCTGCGTATTGTGTCATTTAAAAACAGAATTAAGCAGGGATTACCTAAACTATGCAAGTTTAATAGAGTATCAAATACATACTGTACACTAAAGTGGTCGTTTCCTTTAAACACGTTGTAAGCTTTTAAAATTTTGGTTATGAGATATATTACGTAAAATACCAGCATGCATATATATAGTTTTGAGAAAAACCCTGCATCCTCTAAATTTATTGTAAGCATATTATCTTCTTCTAGTGATCTATCTTTGGTTTTCATAGTTCGGACAACATATGCACCTTGGATTTTGGTTACAGGACGTCCATTTCTCCATGTATGCTCCTGATAAAGTGTTATGTAACAGTAGGAACATATAGCCAGGGAAAAAAAAATAAGACCAAATAATATTTTTATTCCTATGATAGCATTACCTGAAAGGAGAGGTACCACGAAACCTAAGAAACCGATCAACCAAATAAACGCCATGGACCATGTAATATTTCTTTTCGTAAATATTTTTTGGTAAGTATTAGGTTGACGTATAGAGCAGAGTCTCTCTATCGCTATCAGAGTATGCGTTATCATAGTGATTATTAGCAGTACTGGTATAAGGTATACCAGTGAATTTGAAAGGCCGCAATCGTGGTTTCTCTTTGTTACTTTTATAATATGAGCGCTCATAATGGGCTCAACAATTAATCCCACTAGGAAGTCAGCTATACATATACTAAATAGAAGTCGATTTGATCTTGTTCGAATTTTTTTCTGCTGAATAAAACCGATTACAATTATCCCATTTAATATTATTGTCGGCAAAATAGCGATAATATTGAGAATTGCAAGAAATGTAGAAAACCTATTGAAGCTGTCAGTTAACAAATAAGTAAAAATATCTTCTGCGGTCTGAGGCCCGCTACACGATACATTGAAAAGCAATCGGTTTACCTGCGTAATATTATTTACAGTATCTTTCATTTTTGCTTCAACTCGACTTTTGTTTCACAAGATTGTCATTTTACTGAACTTCCAATCAAGTTATTTTCCTGTACGAAAATAAATTCTTTTTTAGTTTATGTTTTAGCTCGTTTCGAACTCCCAGCTACAATTTAATTATTTAAATTTTTTGATTAACTTTAATGATGAATAGTATCAATCGCTAACATAAATTATCGATAAATTGCTAATAACATAAATTATCATAAATTATCGATAAATTGCTATCATAAATAATCGATGAAAAATCAATTTTTAAACTTTTTTTTATTTGAGCAACTTGTTTCTGATTTTTTTTTTTTTTTTTTTTGCCTTTAATGATGTTTTTTTATTTATTTTTTTTTTTAGGTACGCGCATTTTGACGGCGAGTGGGTTGCTCGCCAACTAGAAATTCATCCAAACGGTGCGCTTCTTTTAATTGCTGGGTATAATGATATGGATATCTGTGAGTTGAGCTTAAGTGAAACGCGGTTGATGGAAAGACCAGGCGCCGAGATTACGTGCGACGAGTTTAATGATGTTTGGGTGCATTATGGCGGTAAATTGGATCAAGATTTCAAAGCCAAACAACGAAAATAATTTTTTTTCCTTTTTTTTTTTATTGTACATTCAATTTTATTTATGAATTTATTAATTTATTTTAACAATATTTATTAGTTATAATTTATTTGAATTAAAAATCTGTTTCTAATTATTTGATTATATCATTGTTTGTGTTTGTCTATAATTATTAATGATTAAACATCAACTTAATTGACAAACTTTTTTCTTTCGAAATTGATGAATTAAAAAAATTGATGAACTTTTGATTTTACTTTGTATCGAGTGTCAGCGAATTTATATTTTATTCATTCTCCATGCTTTCATTGATTCGCGTGACTCGCCGTCATCTTTTGCATGTTTTGTTTCAATGTAGTTCATATCCGATTCGCGTGTTATTTCGTACTGTTCTTCTAGAGGCTTTCCCAAAATACTTCTCGAACGTATGAATTTATTAGCTTCGTCTAAATATTAAATATAAGTTTTTATTAGCATAAATAAGAGAAAAGAGTTTTGAAAATTAAAACTTTCTGTGCGCGAGATAGTGTGTAATATTTTTTTGTAAAAAAAACTTACTAGATTTCAGTCCTATTTCAAGCAGCGCTTGTAAGCGGAACTCTTTTATTGGAGGCAAAGTTGTTTTAGTTTTTTTGGGCTTTTCAGATTTAGGTTTCGGTTTAAATTGTGTGGTTTTCCGAGTTTCGCTTTTTGTATTTTTTTCGAGTTTTATGAATTTTGTACTGAAGGATAAAGTTTTCAACTGTGTTTGTGGAGATTTCGGTTCTGAAGTCAAATGAATATTTGACGCTGTCAGGTTAGCTGATAAGAAACAGTGTGGTAAAATTAGAACATATCCAATTAAAACCTAATAAAAAGAATTACCATACAACTAAATAAAGTTAAACCAAATATTCTTAGTATATATATATATATATATATATATATATATATATATATATAATACGAGTTTATGTTATATTACAGAAAATTTTAAATAGCTGTTTAAATAATTATTTGCTTCATTATAATCACTAGCATCATAAAATAATTTACTGAAAGCCGGGTTGAAGAGAGAAAAAAAAAACTAATTATCTAGCAAAAAATTTTTACAAATTTTCTTTGATATTAGTAGTGTATTGTGATTTGAATAAAATTCATTTTTGTGTGATTTGAGTAAATTCATAAATTTAGGTTTATTTTTAATTACTTGTTTACTATTTAATGGAACGGTATTAACTACAATTTAAAAGTTTTAACTCTCCTTTTTAATTACCTAGTTCGTTTTTTCCAAGCAATATATACTATAAGTGGCAGACTGATATAAGCAATATATACTATGAGTGCCAGACTGATAGTAGCAATATATACTATGAGTGGCAGACTGATGTTTGCCCTTGTTTAAATTTTTTTGATGTTAATTCTATTAAAAAGTCCGTGAAGCTTATGAACTACAGAAGCATACGAGTAATCTCCATTAAATAGCAGATAAGAACTTTTTTTTTTTCTATAAATTTTTCGTTAAAAATATTTACAATTTTTGTATTTTTAAAATATAAAAATGGCGGGGGCTAGAAGAAAACAAAATAGTCTTATCGCCAACCCCTAATAATTTGTAAATAATATACATATTTTTTTATATACCTCTAACTATATGCTTATGCAATTTTCAAATATTTTTCAAAAAAAACGATGTTGTAATATAGCAATCAAAAATAACACGTACAAACAATAAAAAACTAAATACAAATGTTATCAATAAAGTCAAAGATATAAACTTCGGGGACCAATAAATGTGTCATCTGGACGAAGTTCATTGACATCTTCATTTATAGCATAATCCAATTCAACCTGTTGAAAATCATTGTTATTTCCTTTGGGTTGATCACTGGCAGGATCAATAATGGATGAAAGGGGCACATTGTAATTATCAAGGTTCTCCGGTTTGATAAATAAATCATTTGAGCTAGTGATTAAGCACCCAGTCATCGTCCAGCATTTCCTTTTATATGCTAGTCATACTAAGAAGAGCCTAAAGTTTTCCACGCTTTCCCTGCCCAATGTGCAATCAAAATTTATCTCTCTTTTGCAGTGTAGGGCATTTTATTTCTGAACTATCTGAATGATTATCTGTATCCAGCCATTTTTGATGTTCAATGGCAATAAAATTTTTCAGAGTAACAGCGTATCCTGCGTCAACTGGAACTGCGTCAAAGATTAGAGGTACTTATAAGACTGTACCGAAAGAGTCTTTTAGCATCATCCAGAGCATCTTTAAAATCTTTCTTCATCTGTCCCTTTAAATGTCCAGCAAAAGAATAAATTTATCAATTTTTTGTTCTTTGATAAACGAAAAGAGCTTTTCATCACGCCAGCACTTACAAACATTTTGGTATAGCCATGCATTTATTTGGAAATAAACGTGAATATCTTTGTACCAAGCTAACTTTTCGTCTTTTGAAATGCGTTTTCCTTGACCTCTAAAAAGATAGCTAGCTTTGGTTATCCTTCTTCTGGTCAAAACATAATTTTTAGGAAACATTGACTTTTTTCCAATCCTGAGCCTGGTTGTGAGATCCATGTGTTATGTATTGCCCCTTTCACCCTTAAGAACATATTCTTACGTGTTTTTACCATGGACAATAATAGGGAGTAGGCTCTGGTCAACAGCTTTTTTTCTGGTGAGCAGTCTTAACCATAAAAAAATATTGTCAAGATAAGTATGTAAAAATAAAGGGTATTCTAATTAATTCTGTTTCTAAAGCACTTTTCACAGTAAGACACATGCAATTTTAGCAATGATGGTTCCATTTTTTTTTTATTCTTCCTTTTTTTCCTTTGTTTTGATCTCATTTTTAACTCTTTTTTTTAATTGCACTATAACATAATGCTTTATTTCCACTTTCGGGTCAATGTCTAGTTGTATTTTTCTAGCTTTACTTTAAAGCCAGGAAAAGTTATGTTATGTGATCTTTCAATCTGGCTTGTAAAAACTATTCGTAAATAACTTTATATAGTTCTACATATTTTGTGGAAAGTCTTCCTTTTAGAAACAATTCGTGATAGGAGGATGCAGCATTTTTAAGTTTTTTTTTAAATCATCTTGTTTGGTTTAACACAAAGTCATCTGACTTTGTGTTACATTAAACAACTCTGCTATAATTTCTTGATTCGTCTCATTATCATAAACACTAATTGCTTCAGCTTTAAAGGCAGCAGTATATTGGTGGAATTTCTTACTACTTTGGAAGATCCTTCGCTTTTTTTTCTTGTTTTAACACTAAGTTATAAATCACATCGCTCACTGCTAGAGTAATAAGTTCTTCTTTAATTTGAAGGAATTGTGACTCTGAAATTTTACAATCTTCTTTGCTTATTCTGTGCATAACTTTAACATGAAAAGCTAGTCCTTGTTGGCTTTTGATTGATTTTTTATAATGTTTGCACTCAACAAGAGTTTCAACTGCTTTCAACGGCACTTAAAAAGAGTTTCGACAATTGGATTTCACTCAATAAGAGTTTCAAAAATTAGATTGCAACCTCTTGCATTGCCTTTTTAGTAAAACCAAATGCTGCCAGTGTAAGCTGCTTTTTTTTTTTTTTTTTAGGCAATATTATTACTATTTTCTACAGTATTTGAATAAAAGAGTTTGAGAGAGAGAGAGATGTTACACTTCAAAGCGCTTATTTCCGAAGTATTTCAATAACGGGGTTGTCCATAACTAACGTATGCTTTTATTTCTAGCCCACCCCCACTCCTTCCTCCACATTTTGATATACGCTTTTTTGAGAACTGTCCACCTCCCTGAAGGTACGCTTCTAACCTACCTACCCAAAATTCCTCTGAATACCCACCTCCCTGAACCTACGCTTCTAACCTAGCTACCCAAAATTTTCTGATATTTTTTTTATTTAGTGTCTTTTTACTTTTATAATTGACCCTCTGCCCATCACATATATGCGATTTAGAGACCTTCTCTCCCGCATTAAAGCGAACGTACTTTATGGACGATCGCTAAACATTTTTTTTTTTAATTTACTTTTTTAAGTTTCTATAGAAGTTTGAGTTTTGCTATGCAATGACATGAACTGATAATATCGTTGCGTTGCGAAACATAAACCTGTATGAATTTTACTTTTATTAATTTAAGGTGGATCCATGGTAAAAAAACTAAAATCTTTAATACTCTTGATTTCAATTTTTTTTAAGTTGAAATATGAACAAAAACATATTATGAAAAAGAAAATTTCTTCAAAAATTAAAAAAAGCTATTTTAAAATGCTGAGTCAGCATAAAAATACATAAAAAGTGAGTTATGCAAAACAGCTATTACTTATAAACTACTCATGCAATCAAGCTAAAAGTTTTACAAATTGGAGAAAACACATAGATTAAGTGCCTGAACTAGGATTTTTTTATATTTTTATGTACTTTCAAAATGGCTGCTATATTCGTGAATATTCCAAATATTTGACAAAAACTCGATAGGGAAATACAAATTTGTCACTAAAAAAAATAATTCTGTTGAAGATCTTAGTTCAGGCACTAGTTTAAAGTATAATAAACAATTCCTGAAAATTTGAATATTTAACTAAATGCAGATCCAGAGCAATAGTTGCTCTAAGATTACTACATTCAAAAATATAAAAAATGCAGAAAAATGCAAAAGAAATTTAGTATTTAATAATTTCCTACAGAATATGACTCTAAATCTTCAGTTTCTTTTTCGTTGTTTATGAAACCTTTTCTACGAGCTCTTAATTAAATTTTTTGAATAAATTTTTTAAAAAAATAATTAAATAAAGAAAGTTTAAGTTTCTTAGAAGTTGTAGATGATGTGACCGTATCAATATTATTTACAACATGGTTTTCTGGAAATGAGGAAGTACAAGTGTGTCGATTGCCACAATATAAACCTTTAATTTTTCTTTTTATTTTATTTCTCTTGTTAGCCATTTAAAGCTGTTCAACAAACAAAATATCTTCAGACAGGTTTTTAAATATGCTAATTTAATAGTTTTGAAAAACTAACTCAATAACTCAAATATAACTCACTCACAAGATTTAATAGTTATAGTAATTTACGAATAAAACAAATGAAATACAAATAACAGAATAGTTAAAAGCATAGTAGATATATTTTAAGTAGCACAGACTTTAATTTTTTTTATTTTGTAGAAGATAAAAGATAAAAATTGACAAGCTGTTTTGGTTGCTATGCGCGTTGCTATGAATAGCAATTGAGATAAGATGTCAAATCTATTACTTTTAATGTAAATAATGTATAAAAACCACTTTCCTCTTAAAGATAGGTAGTTTATTAACTTTATTTTTTTTAGTTTTCTAGTTTTCTAGTTTAGTTTATAGTTTTTATTAACTTTATTTATATTTAAAAACAATTAAAAAAAAAAATTCATTTTTTTTGCATTTTTTTACCATGGATCCACCTTAAATGGTTTAAATTTGAAAAAAAAAAAAACATTAAAAATTTTAATTAAATTTTTTTTTAATCATTTAAATGGCTTACCAAGCTTCAACAATATGCTTATTTTATTAACAAAATCTATACTTATTTTATTTACAATATCTGAGCTTATGTATCAGGGCCGACAAAGCAAAAATAAAACGTAAACAGATACAAAAAATATTCAAAAATTATATAAAACAGTTTTCAATTGTTACGATTAAGAACACAGGATTAAGAAACATAATATAAAAGATTAAAAATTTAAGAAAAATTTATATTTAAATGAGAAAAATGTAAGATAAAACAGGACCGACGATACGTTGAATAGAATTAAAAACAGCCAAACTGAATAAGCTCGAAAAGGGACTTTCCGGGATAATATCAAAACAGAGAATAAAAC